CCCCCCATACGTATTTTTTATATATTAATGAATTAACGACGTACCTTCTCGCGTTTTTTTCGTCGATAAGCGAATAGCTCGAGAGAGTTCGGTGGTTCCGCGCGCAGGCAGGCAGGCCGTCCGAGGTGTCGTTCGTCACACCGCTTACACACACACACACACACGTACAAACACACGCATACACAAACACAGAGGCAGACAGACACACAAGCAACAAGTATACGTAAAGCGAAACTCGTAATCGAGACGTGTTTCGGCTAACACACACGGGTTTGAGGATGTTCGATTCGACGACCAGATTAGAAGCAAACAAAACAAAAAAAAATTGATAACGATTGTGATACGATATCTAACTTGCCTATGTTTAAATGAAACAAAAAGAACAAAATGAAAGAGAAAAGGGAAAGGGAGAAGAAGGAAAAGAAAGAGATATAGGTGATGGGAGGAAGATACGTTGCCTCGAGAGGGAGGTGAATACACGACCACGAGAAGAATGCCTGTAAATATGTAAAGCCGTTCGCTCCGACGAACAAACAAAAACGAGTGGAGGAAGAGCAAAAAAAAAAGAAATGTTGAAATGACGCGAAAAAGAGCGAGCAAGAGAGTGCATGCTTGGCTGCGCGGACGCTGCGTGGATCCGTGTGTGAATGAGAAGAAAGGAGAGAGAAAGTGTTGCGAATGCGTGAGCAAAATCGAGGGTAGAACGAAGAGAGACGGAGAGTGTACGAGTGGGTAGAATCGCTAAAGGATGAGAGAAATAGGAGAGAGAAAAAAAAGGCGAAACGAAGGAGGAAGGAGAAGATGCGGAGAAAGGGAAAGAGCATGAAGGTGAGAGGGCCAAAAAAGGAAAAAAAAGGGAAAGGAGAGGATAGACGTATGGATGAAAGAGAAGGGTGAGTGAAAATGTGAAATGGGAAGAAGAGAGATTAGGTAGGATTTACGAGGACGGCGTATCCCCCCAGAGTGCTGAGCCATAGCTTTTCGGGGTACGACAAGTTGACGATGACGATAGTTGCGCGAGGGGAGGGTACGACTCTTGTATACTATAGTAATATTTGAATGTATATTTATACGACAGGTTATATTATTCTATTAACTATAATGATGATATTTTGAATCGGTTTTAAAATCAGATTGGTGCTGAACGTAACACTAGGTAAGCGACACAAAGCAAAAGAAGAAAAAAAAACGCGAAAGAGGAGGGAACGTGGAAGAAGGCTGAGACACCGTAGAAGTAGTGTAAGTAGGGTAGTCGATAGAGTAGAGCACGAGAGAGAGTGTGAGAGAGAGAGAGAGAGAGAGAGAGAGAGAGAGAGAGAGAAAGAGGAGTAAATCCGTGGGGGGAAAAAGAAGAGGAATAAAAAAGACTTTCGTAGGACCCTCGTGAAGTCCGCTCATCCGGAACTTAATAATAATAATATTAATAATAACACTAATAATAATTACTAGTAATAATAATAATTATAATTATAATAATAACGCAATTATCATCACATCAGCCGGTGAACAGAAGGTAACGAACGGATAATAACAAGAACAAGAAGTAAAACAGGAAGAATGTTTCGTGGCAATACTTAAGAGGAAAACGATACGAAATGGGGAGAGAAATACATACACGAACACAAAAGGAACACACACAAAATATTGAGGAAATTTCAACGTACTAGAGAATAGTCTTTTAAATTTCTATATTAAGACGTGTGATCTCTCTAATTATTGTACATTATATATATATATATTATATATATATTATATATATATATTATAATGATCTATACCTATAGATGACGAGATGCATAAGTATATGATTACGATTATACGTATATTAGGCGTTCTACAGTTAGTCTTTTATCATTTAGACACAGAGATGATTTGAAGATGAATAATTGTGCGGCCATATTCTCTGTGGCCTGTTTGTAGTGCCTCGGAATTGCTGCTCGCGGCAGTGATTTGACCGTATTTTAGGATGGTATATTAATAATTATATTGAGAACTGCAATTATCGATACTCTGATACAGTACTAAAGGTGGAAGAAGCAAGAATAAAGAAAGATGAGTGGAACCGAAAGGAAAGAGGAGGAAGGGAAAAGAAAAGAGGAGAGAAAAAAGGAAAAGGGTGAAAGACGAGAGTTTAAAGGAAAAGAAAAGAAAAGAAAGAAGCGAATGAATGAAGTGATCGTGTCGTCAGGCGTCACGTTAATCGACTCATTAAATTATTAAAGATCTACTTATATCGCGTTTACAAAAATAGGTTAGCGAGAAAAGGAAAAAACAAAAAGAAAAAAGACGTGCGGGAGCGCTAGAAATCGGGAGTTAGAAATCGACGACGCTGTGATCGTTCGCTGATAATCACTTTTAATCGTACTTTTTCTTTATTATTTTTTTTTTCTAATGATATTATTATTATCCTCGTTGCTCTCTATTAACTTCTTTCCTTAGTTGTTGCTTGCGCGTTAAAAAAGAAAACGAACAAGAACATAAGGAAAAAGATCAAAACGAAGGAGTAGGTTCTTCAGAAAACATGAGGAATTCTCCGTGATTCAAGAGTATTATGATTGTTACGACATACTAAAATTTCACGGGACAGTCGATCGTGTCGACATCCCGATCTTTTTTAGATTCGCTCGTCCCTCGTCCCTTGTGCGATTTTAGCGGGACTGATCTCACGACGTTCCTCATTTCGCGATTCAAATCGCCGAGTTCTCGGGGTGCTTAAATTCGATAGAAAATCGCGTCGTTTGCCGACATCCTTATGCCTTCCTGAAAATCTTATTAAACTTTCTACAGATCGTTTCAAAGTTCCGAAATATCTTGCGACTGCAACTGATCGACATCATTTAAGATTTAAACGGAAACAACTAATAATCGTGAAAACTTTCGAGCGTCAACTGCAAATCTTGTTTCTCTCTTCTCTTTTTTCTTTTTTTTTTTATTCATCGGTCATTTATATTTTCTTTTTTTTTCGGTTAAATTTTCGCTCGTCGAAAAATACGTGCCGCGCGTGAAAACAATAATTCAATCTTTCCGTTTCGCGACAGAACGACAGGGCGATTTCACGTGGACGAGCGAAATATTATTCGCCAGTGAAATAATAATTGGTTTATTAGGTGTTTGTCGATCGGCGAATAAAATGTGACCACACTATATCGAAAGAAAATCGCTCATTGAATACGGTCATTAAACAATCGTGTCGAACATCTTAATTGACGCCGTTCCAATTTCTCTTTAGGTTTTCGTTTCGTATAACTCCGAAATTTGATTTCTTTTTTTTTTTTTTTGCTTATTATGTCGTTTCTTACACGAAACACGAATCACGGTTCTGCACGCGACGCGATTGGATTATTAGGTTTCACGTAAAAACTCGATCAAATTCTTCAAACGGGAATCTTTTTTCAACCATATTTTTAACGCATCTTACGCGTGTTTTTTCTCTATTTCGTCGAGAACGCGATAATAAAAAAGCAAAAGAATTATTCGTGCAAATGGGATTAAGATCCTTTCGGGCGTGGCTGACCGTTTAATTATTTTTTCTTTTTGTTTTTCGCAGGGCGAAAGAATATATCGTCAGGTCAGGAAAGATTGTTTTCGAATAGAAAAAGATACTCGTTTTAGTATGTTTGTCGAAACAGAGTTGGAGGTAGAGAATAGGAAGAGACGAGAAAAGGAAAAAGAGAAAGACGACTAATTATTGTAAAAAGAAAAGTGTAGATACGAACGAATATTTTCTTTTTTTGTTTTTGTTTACCATCTGTTCTAACTCGTCGTATTCAACATAACGATATATCATCTCGTATCTTATTATTATCGCTGTTAATTAATTAT